TGAAAGCAGCTGCGGGTGAGCAAGTGGCAATTAGATGCAGGGTCTGAGGCTCAGACGGGGCACCGAGCGCGCTTTTGGTGGTGCTGCTGGTAATCCTCACCTGCGGATGGTTTGCCCATTGCTTTCAGGGAGGGGGGGGGAGACACATCCGCTGGTTGCCTCCCCCACGGGAGCAAACCCACACTCCAGTAGGTGCCCTTGACCAGGAAGCAAGCCCTGGGCCCTCCGATGTCAGGGCGGATGCTCTACCACTGAGCCGCACCGGCGGGGCTAGTGGCACTTTCTATTTATTTATTATTTATTTTTAGCCGCACTTTTTAGAAGCATTTCCTGAAACCACAAGTTCGCAACTATTGGATTCCCCTCAATTGTCCAGATACGTGCGGTGACCCAGCGGAACTGCCCCTAGATCACAGGTGGGCGCCGTCCTGGCCCCTCCTGGGTCATCGCTCTGCTCCATCCAGAAGCTGAGGAAACCGATGGGCCTGTTTCACCCAAACACCGCCCGCCTGCGGCGCAGGCCCGTGACTGTAACCAGGGAGCAGACTCAGGGCTCTTGCAGATGGGGACTTGCGAAGGCTGGCAACTGAGGGCTCTCCCTGGGGTCCCGACAGGGACGGGCCACCCCACCGAGGGGACCTGACCTGGGCCCGTTCCTGGGGAGGGCCAAGCTTTGGATGCCAACTCCAGAACTTTAGTACCTCTGAGCACTATAAAGTACTTTTAATCAACTTGTTAAGTCCATCTGTTAAATATGACACTGATTTTTCACAGCATAAGGATAATTCAGAAACACGCTTTTAAAATAATATCTAAATCTTTGCAAAACATTTCCTACTTTGAGGCGAAGACAGATAGGAAGTGCTTGTCTGAGTATAACATACAGATGGACCAGAAATGTTTATGCCAGCGATTCCCAAAGTGTGGCCCCCAGACCAGCAGCGTCCACGTGGCCTCGGGACCTTTATGGAATTCTTGCTGATTCAGAAACGCTGGGGTGGGG